ATTAGGGCACCTGAGCGATTAATTATGGCAAATTAATCCTGGGTAGCCTAATGTTTGTTGTTAGTTATTGCAAATTATTACTGTATAGTGTAATGTTTCAACTTAGGTAAAGGGGTGTCATATATTAATAATAAAACATAGTTGTTAGTTTCCAGTCCTGTATATTAAGATCTTTTTGTACACGAATGTTTTTCATGTAGACTTGCTCTAAAAACGCAGTCGAGTACTTACCGTTGTTGGAGATACAATAAAGTGGTACCATCGTCCATAGATATTCTAATATGGACGATGGTGGTACCATATAGGAAATATCATTTTTATTTGCACGATAACATAACACACACAATCAAGTACACAGTCAAGTGGAAGCTACAGTGCAGTACGCGATGTGATCCAGTAAGGCGATATACATTCAAATAATACTTGAAGTTTTAGTTGAAGCGTTTGTTGTATTTGAAGTAAAATAAAGTTTAGTTTGATTATTCAGTGTAGTCTCAATTATTGGTGAACCCACGAGGAAAAACGTAACAATATTATTACCCGAAAAAAAATTCATAATTTCATCATCAGGGGAAGAGTTGCCGTTGCATATACTTCCAAAAAATTTGTTGATATCTTCAACGTTCAGTAAGTGGTCTGGAATGGATTTGAGATATCTTTTATAGTGCATATTCAAATCGGATAAATCTTTCCATATCTACTTACTTTTTGTAAGCCGATGATTGAGATATGCTCTTTTCTCCAGGTTCACAGTGCGATTTGTTAAATTCCTCAATTGTTTGTAATAATCCATTCCACTGATGCTGTAACTTTGTCTTTCTAAATCTGGTAATAAGAGCTCTATCTCTTAGTTTTAACATGAGTGTCAGATTGTCTGTGAGCCAAGGGACCCTTTTCTTGGAAATTTTAACAGTTTTAATAGGAGAATGTTTTTCAAAGCGATCGGTTAATGTCCCATTGAAAAGAGCCAATTTGTCATTGGTATTCTCGATGTGGTGAAGAGAACGAAAATCCGCTCTAATGAAAAAAGAGCTAAATGAAATTTGCTGAAGTCTCTATAAGTGTGCATGAAATTTTTATCTTCTATTTTGATTAAGCCCACCTTGCAAAACACTAAAAAATGATCATAAAATGAACTACAGTCGATCGTCAGATATAGTTAATAATTCTGAATAGACCCACCCAAAAAAAACGGGGACACCACTTCCAAAAAATTTGTTGATATCTTCAACGTTCAATAAGTGGTCTGGAATGGATTTGAG